GATATGCTGCTCTTTTCAAGATTTTGTTACCCCTTTCTAATTAATTAGTCTCTTTCCAGCTTCTTCTGGGTTTATTTTGGTTCTTGGTTTGAAATTTTCTTCCCTTCCTTTTTTTCCTTTTGTCTGGTGGTTTGCTTCTGTCTGCAATCTTCTAGTAGCTTTTTTTCTAGCCAATTTTCTATTTATGGTCAACGATGCCGGAGCAGCACGATGTAACGTTGCGGCGTTCAATTTGTCATGATCAAATTCTGGTGTTGATGTTATAAATTTCCACAGTACGGATCAAAATTCCTCTTCTTTTGGTTTTGGAAGAGAAACCAACGCAGAAGGTTTGTAGTTTCAACTTTCAAAGTCTCGAAGAAATCCATCTCATTAATTTTCTGGGCAAGGTCCACTCATGGTCATGGGCGGGCATTTGTTTTACCGGGCGGCAGGCAGGCAGAGGCTTAGCTAGCTACCGTGAATTTATTTATCTCTCTTTTGATTTTTTATTTTTCGGAAGGGAGCTACCATGCATGAAATATGGATGTACTGAGCGATGGATATAATTGAAAAATAAATATTAAAAAAAAAATCTCAGTGGTAGCCACTATTGCATATTATGAATATTTATGCGCAACGGATATTCTGTCCCATATTCTGTGCCACTCTCTATCCCACTTTTTATTATATTGTTATTTTTCCTACATAAACATCATGTTTTAATTTTTTTTTGTTTTCTTAAGATTCAATAACTATTAATTGACAAATAAACATCATGTTTTAGTTGTTTTCTTAAAAAGTGGGACAGATAGTCCTCGCGATATTTATGATGCCACATTAGAGATTCAGAATGGTCATATTTAGGCAACAATTAGTGCTAGCTAGCAACACATATTACAAAATCCCAAAATTTGCTACCTATAACTACTGCCGATTGCTTGTCGCCAACTAATAAGTATTAGCCAAACCAAAACAGCTTAAAAATGTCAAAATAGTTGCAGTCCAGTAGTATTAATTTGGCAAACGTGGAAATTTTCTGATGCCATGTTGTCCTTGCATGATACACAGCATGCTTAGTTGTTTACCAACTTTGTAGAGGACCGGCACGTCCCCCCCCCCCCCCCCTCTTTATCTATCTATTATAAGTAGTATTTTTCTTGAAAAATTTTACTGTAATAATGTATATGAAAAAATTGTACTATAAAAATTATTTGAAAATTTTAATGTATTATATTGATGAGAAACACCATAAAGTTGAAATTCACGTTCTTAATGACCATTGTGATTAAATGGCATGGGGGCAAAAAGAAATCTTAAATAAGCTGACGGGGCGGGGAATGGGAGGTCCTCGCAATCAAAATGTAGGGTAGGACAAAAAAATATGATAAATGTTCAGTTCAACAAAATTGCGAGAAAAGGAAGATGAACAACCCAATTCTCAATAACGAAACATATTATTTCTAGTCATTGCAGTAGCGTGTAGATCATTGCAATAGCTTTCCGACACACGCATTAAGGATGTGGATTAAAGCACTTGTAAAGTAGTAGTACAAAGTAAGTTGGGGTTAACCTTTAAAAGTTGGAGTGACGAGGTTTCTGAGTTATAGTAAATTATTTCCTGCAAAAAGTACACTCATTCTTTCTATGATGTATTAATTCTTTGGGGTGACCACACCAGCCACTATCAGCTGCAAGTTGCTGCTGCTGCTAATGATGCAGTATGTGTCATGGTCAAATCTTTTGGAGTGTCCAGAGTATAAATAATCGTCACTTTTGTCATCCAATATTGACGTGTGCAATTAATGATGAAGAGGAAGGACATCCTGTCCTCCGTCCAATGGTCTGGTGTAAACTTCGCTTCCTGTATTAATGCTTCTTAATGTAGTACAGTAGTTGATTTGATTATATTCCTTGAACCTGAACAGACGCAGGTCATAACAGGAAGTTGTGTGCAAGAAACAATAATAAGATGCTAAAAGAAACTTTTTTTTTTTTTTTTTTTTAAGATATCTTCTCCTGTTGCCTGAAAACCAATTAAGGAAAAAAAAAAAAAAAATTCCCGCCACCAATTAGAAGTAATTTGGTGGTCGCCAAGGCACATGCGACTACTGTCCCTTCCTAAAATAGTTAGAAATACACAATTTTTTTGGTCCAACCCAAATTCAAATTGGAGTAAATTTTTTTTGGTTAGTCTGCGCGGTTTTTAGGGTCTGCGTACAAGTTGACGTTTTCTTGTTCTCAATGACAGAGAATTAATTTTCTCATGTCAAAAACAAACCCCATATGTGATGCGATTTGTTGCTTGTAGACGTTACCCATTATTCGCAGTTGACTTATTTGTATCGTTAAAAACAGGAGGGTTCATCTAGAAAGGGGTTTAAGTGGTTGACCAATCAGACGTTCTTCTTCTTCTATGTATATATATATATATATATTGAGTCAACTAATCCAATTATTATTGCTGCTTAATACATGATGAATACAAATACATAGCAGACCAGACCTACTTGGCATGGTGGATTGCGTCTGATTGTGGTCCAAAAGTACTTCAACAACAATGCCTTATAGAAGGTGGTGTTCGAGCGACTCCAACCATAATATATACTCCCTATAAACAAACTAGGCGTGTTGAATTAGTAATTTTGTCATTCTGACACTTATGATTAGTACTAATCAGACCCAAGTTGCCGTACGGATCCTCTAGCTAAACAAGCTATTGGTACAAACAAAGAAAAAGCAATCGTGTCGTGGCATATCCTCCGCCAAAAAAAAAAAAAGAAAAGTATCTGACCCACCCCAGAATCTCCAAGCAAAAGTTGTTAAACTCATGCAAGCGCCGATTCCTTGCTTTCGTTCATCCTTGGATACCAGAAGTGGGGGCAGCAACTGCAAGGGGAAGGAATATTGGCATTGTGCCTTGCTCAAAGGCAGAAGTCTTTTCCTTGAAGCCTCTTTCATTCTTTTTTTGGTCCAAAACGAAGCTTCTTCTTTCATTCATTAGTAGCAGCAATTATATATATATATATATGTATATTTTTTCCTTTCCCTCCTCCTCTTGCAACTTAAAGAATTTCTTGACAGAACCAGGGATTATCACCACCAAAGAAGAGATTAAAGAACCATTTTTCCTTCTCTGATAATTTAGAGATTTTTGCTTCAAGGAGTGAACAACCGTTTAGAAAAAAAGTATGAAAGAGACGCAACATATTATTGCGTGCGTCATCTTTGCTAGGGGCTGGCTAAGGCTAACAAAATTTAATATGGCCCATTCGTTGAACCTTGCAAATTTATTCCAACCACTCCTCTGCTCTGCCTGCGGTGAGGCGGCAATCGTCAAAGCAAAGCATTGGGTCCATCCATTGAGGGAAAAGAAGGAAAGGAAAGAAGAAAAAAAGCATTGGGTGTACAATGGCGGCAGGGTAGTGCGGGTCCACCAGTCCATGCCACGTGCCCAAAATTGGCTGCTGGCGGTGATTAATTTTGATGGGCCAGAACCTGACAGATGGGTTAGTTTCTCCATCGTTATTTGTTTCTCTTATGAGATATGGACTTGTTGTGATTTGAAACTCTATTCGAGCTCAGTCCTGGAAACCTTCTAGATGTGGGCGGTTTGTGCTGCGGGCGGCCTATTAGAGTCTCCAATTGGCCCGTTTTTGACATGCTGCAAGTGATTTAAAGAGTGGATACAGTTAAATAATGCAAGGCTCTGGTGATTATTTGCCGCGTATAAATTTTGAAGAAACACCACGCAGCATTTCTGACTTCCTAAGCTAAGCCGCCACCGTTCTGTCACTTTCTTGACCATCTTTTTGGTGGCTTGCAGTTGCAGCTAGTTCTCGTCCGACAGACGTCAGATTGCGCTGCTTGCAGGAATAACAAGAAGGTAAAGTAGCAGAGGGCACTAATTACTAAATATAACGGAACAAATTAAGGCCTAACTCAAGAGACCCAACCTGAAATCAACATTTTCTAAACACACAGTACTGATTTTTTAGTTTTCAAATTCAAGTCCAAATCCACCACGGCGGCGCCTTGAGGTTGTGTACGCCACGGTGAATTGCAAGTAGAATAATGAGAAGTTAAACAACATAAAAAAAAAAAAAAGGTTCTAGGCTCTCAGGAAATCCATTTATATGCCCCTTTTTGCTGATTTGTTCTAGGCTACTAAAAGCCTCCCTTCCCAATTCCCATCATCATATGTGGGGTGGGCCAAGTGTAACAACATGGATCAAGGAGCTATATATATTTATACAGATTCGTTATGTAAGTAATATCGTCGCATCATTAACAAGTCAAAAAAAAAATAGAGTCCAAATTTCTTCTTACTTAATTTTACTGTTCGGTAACCCTGGTAAGGAGTAGGGCCTAGAGGCCAAGAGCAAAGCGACACCCTTAGTTGGGCCAAAACTCCCCCTGGAAACATGCGCTGGTGGGAGATGGTATTTTGGGCCAAAACTCAACCCAAGGAAATTTTTTTTAATTATTTTTAAAAAAAGGGATTTGTGAAGGTTGAATCTCGGAATTGCTTCAATATAGTTGTAGACATATATATAGGCAGCCTAGGTTGGTTCTTACGAAGTAAAATCTCTCAGTTTATGCCCCCATGGGCCCCATCCAGAGGCAGCCATGGTTTGGTTTGACCAGGCTGGGCGGGTCATATGGGTGTTGCAGCAGAACTCTATCATCTCATGAAACCTAATCCAATTTACTACTACAATCCTACATCTGACGATAGTCTTACGAAAGAGTTGTTACTACTAGTTCATCTGTTAGTGGGTCAAGATTCACCCGAGTCAAACTGCAAAGTGTGGTGGTTAGGACTGTTGGGAATAAGGCAATCCATGTAAAACTGTTCTCCCTACTTCTTTTACAGTTGCAGTTCTTCTTCCGCAACAATTATTACTTGGTTTGACCTTCAATTCTCCCCAAGCATTAGGCAACGATCATTATATATATGTTGAGAAAATGTGCAAGTCTTCTTAAAAAAAAAAAGAGGTGTGCAAATACAGAGGGAAATGTTGAGAAAAAAAAGGTTTCCTCATGCAAATCTCATTCTGCTCTGCAGAAAGAAGCATAAGTTCTGTGTTTTGCCCAGTGTTTTTCCAAGTCCTACAAGAATTTCATTTCCAGGTGGTTACCTAAATCTCTAACCAAAAGGAGTCTTAATTCCATTCCCAATCTTAGAGTGATTCGGTGCGGAAGAAAAATAAAATAAAATAAACGTTACCATAATCTGAATGAAGAAGGTTATTCTAAAACGACTAAAAATTGGTAGTATTTCCTTTTCCAACACGGTCACAGAAATTGGCGCTCCATAGTCTATATATAAGAGGCCATCCAGCCCTCTTCGACATTAAGATTACAGCTATCGAGCCCCCTGCACTTTAGAAGTTTTCATTCAGGTAATCTCTCTATTCTTCGAATCTTCAATCTTCATGCGCCTTGCCTTGCTTCCCAGTTTGGATTTTATCAATTCTACGAGAAGCCTCATTAGTATAATGTAGCAGGAAGTTGTTTATAGTACGATTGTAGTTGAAGTTAGAGATATTAAGGGTTGAAAAAAAAAGGGCAGTTTGTTGAAACATAAATCGAAGTATACTTGTTGAAGTACATATAATATGAATGACTTCTGATGATCTTTGACAGGTGCCCCATCTCCAACAAAACTTGGAACCATGTTTCCTTTTCAATTGCAAACCCCTCACCAAACTACCTAACTACTCTTGCCCCACCAGTCTCCTATATTAAGACTCCCTCTTCCAAGTCTTTCCCTTCAATCTTCCCTTCTCTCCAACGCAAGCACTAGTTATATTTCTCGCACCAATTATCTTTCTGATCAACAGGCTAATTGACAAAGATGGGTGCAACAATGAGATGCATGGTGATTCTTGGCGTCCTGTTTGCTCTGTTTATGTCGTCCACTTCTGCGCAGTCATGTTCAAAGTACAACTTTGCTAGCAATAAAGTTTTCAGTGCCTGCAGCGATCTTCCATATTTGAACTCCTATCTTCATTGGACGTACAGCCCATCTTCCCAGAGTCTTGAGATCGCGTTTAGGCGCTTGGGAACATCATCATCAAGATGGGTTTCTTGGGCTATTAATCCAACTTCTCAAGGGATGGTGGGATCACAAGCACTCGTGGCTTTCCAGAAATCTGATGGAACCATGAGAGCCTACACTTCGCCTATAAAAAGTTACCAGACGGGATTACAAGAAGGAGATTTGAGCTTCCCAGTTTCGGATTTATCTGCTACTTATTCGAATAACGAGATGATCGTTTATGCTACCTTGAAGCTGCAGAATTCCAGCTCTACTCTGAACCAGGTGTGGCAAGAAGGTCCACTCTCAAACGACAGCCCTGGAATGCATCCCACCACTGGTCCTAATGTCCAATCCATGGGCACTCTCAACCTACTTTCTGGAGAATCTAAGACCACAGCAGGAGCCTCAAGTTCAAAACTCAAGGCTAAGAATGCAAGTCTTTGAATCGTTTTTCCCTTTCTTTCTTGAGTTCGTGATTATATATCTTTACTTTCCCCCCAAAAAAAAAATATAAAGACTTGTAGATAGATAGACATTCCTTGAATCTATTTAACATGTTATTTGTAAAGAAAAAGTTAATCATGATATTGCTGACCCAATCCGCTTTTTGATATGTTTCAGATTCATGGGGTGCTGAACGCGGTGAGTTGGGGAATTCTGATGCCTCTGGGGGCTATAATCGCAAGATACGTTAAGGAATTTCCTTTGGCGGACCCTGCTTGGTTTTACCTTCATGTTACCTGCCAATTATCGGCCTTCATCCTTGGCGTGGCCGGATTTGGTACTGGGCTCCGCCTGGGGAGCCAGTCTCCAGGAATCACGTACGCAGTCCACAGGGGCCTTGGCATTGCTCTCTTTACCCTGGCATTGGTTCAGGCGAGTGCTTTGCTTATAAGGCCGAAGAAGGATCACAAGTGGAGAAGCTACTGGAATTGCTACCACTACCTGGTCGGATACGGAATTCTCGGCATCAGCATCGCCAACATTTTCAAAGGATTGGATATCCTGAGCCCGGAGAAGAAATGGAAAAGAGCATACATTGGCATCTTGGTGACCCTGGCATCTCTTGCCCTTCTCTTGGAAGTAATTGTATGGTTCCTGAAGAGGAGCAAGAGATCTGCAGGTGCTGACAAGTTGAAGTCGTCCCACGGCACCAATGGGACAAATGGACTAAATGGCTATGGAGGAAGGAAGCCTGAGACAGTCTAGTTTACCAACTTGAGATTTATTCCTCCCTATACAACTCTTTTCATTTAGTGTTTTCCTTTTCGGTCGTACCTATTTATGCACCCGCATGTATATTTTCCAACTCGACGGCAGAGGTTTTAAGATGAGTTTATGATTTAGTAGTAGTAGAATTTTAGAACTCCACGCCGATATGTAGGTACTATTGTTTCTTGAATGGCATCTGCGGATTTATTATTTTTTTTTCCCATGATTAAAATCTCTTATCTATATGTGTCTTTTTTCCATAGTCTTATTTCTGATCAATAGGTGTCTGTACTCTGTAGAAAAAGCAATTGGTGTATGATGACACACATCATTATTTGCAGAGACCTAGAAATATTGACAGACAGACAGCAAATACTTTATTTGTCCCAGTCAATTCGTCCACTTCCTGCAACATGTGCTGATATCAATAATTTAATTATCATATTCTCAACCATCCATGAAAAAAAGCTAACTTTTTATGTTGATTACTTTGCCCTAATTATGCAACCAATGCTAAAATCAAGTATCTTACGTTTTCTTGGAAAAAAAAAATGCCCACAAGAGTTTCCAAGAAACAAACTACAGTAGCGCAAAGATGCACATTCCGCGGCATGGCTATAAAAACAGCAAAGCGCAGAGAGGAGAGGCAGAAAATACTCAAACATAGAACTAGCAATTTCTTAAGAGCCATAAGCTTCAGATATCAAGAAAAAGCATTTTTAGGAGCTCCATCCAATGTAGGGTGAACTTGGAACTAAGGTAGTCATATCAATTGGACACTACAGCGCATTTGGTGCAGCTAATATTTTGCAACTCAGTAAAACTGACTAGGCCATTTTCCAGCTAATTAGAGTGCCTCTAAAGCCTTTGACGTGAACTGAATAGATGAATAATCTGTAATTCTTCATAATATATAAGAAGGTGACTGTTACGGAACTGTTGTGGTAGCTCTCTGAGTTACCACGTTTCTCTCATTTGGATTGCTGCAATGCCTCAATGAAGGCATCCTTGAGAAGAGGATTTGAAGCTGCTATTCTTTGCGAGGTGATATCAAAATCAGCACCAGACCTGCGGCAAAAGCAACATGCAATACTCATAAATATCCTCTTATCATATATATAAGTTAAAGCAATTATAAAATTCAGTGCTATATCTACAGATGCGACATTTAGAGACTTGGCATGTTTCATTTTGGAACGACATTCTGAACTCCAGAACCACTGGATGAACAGCATGCAGATCCAATTCTTTTAATAGACCAGGAAGATGTCAGAAGTTCGGAGGACTTACGGATCAAACAGAACGCCTCCAGCTTCTTTAACAATGAGAGCACCACCTGCCACATCCCAAGGGCCTCCATATCCAAGTTCATAAAAGAGATCAAGCCTTCCACATGCAATACCACAGAGATTTAAAGCACAGGAGCCACTCATCCGAAGAGACCTCACCTGATGTATTGAGAAACAAGTAATATTAATTATGCAATTTAAAAACTATATTTAAACTCCTGATCCCATTGCAAGGATTTATTTTACCTTGAACAGTAAACTGTTAATTTTGTTGGTACAGGTGTCCACAGTTAGTTTATCACGCTTTGTCCCAGCCTGCTTCCAGGAATCATTCATTCAGTAGCTGGAAGCAAACTAAACATCCACAATTTAAGATGAATAAACTTTATGCTAGTTTGTACTATCTCATAGAATTCACACATGAGAGAGAGAGTGAAGAAGGATCAAATGAAGTCATCCACAATCTGATGCTGCTGGATCAGAACCAATGTCTCAATGTTCCCAAAGGGCAAAGCTATAGCGCTTTTTCGAGCTAGTTATTCAAACAAGAATGCTTAATGCAAATTTTAAAAGGGTAAAAGAAATAGACAAGGCTCATCAAAAACATAATCTGTTGCTGAAAAAATGTCCATGGTCTACAAGAACTTAAATTATTACCAAAAACTTCATTCAATGTTCTATTTCTGCATGCTTATGATACGTTCATGTTGCTGAAGAAAGCTGGTGGTGTTCACAAGCATAAAATGAGGGAAGGCCTCAATGTTGTAACCAGCATACATTCTTAAAATGTGCTACAGCTGATGGATGAAGAGTTACCCAATGGTTCCATGAAAAAGATACCAGTATGTGTTTAGCTACGTATAGCTGAATACCTACCCCTGTAGCAAGAAGAGACTTCACGAGTTCAGACTGAGAAGACACTGCATATGAACAAAAGAAGTTACTGAGAGGTTTCAAGTTTGAATAGCATCAAAATATAGCACACTAATTGCAGAACTAAACTTACCTTTTATTGGTTTTCCATTCAGAAAAGCTCCTTTCCCCTCTATCCCAGTGAAAAGCTGCAAAGTAGAAGAAAGAGTTTTCTCAACTCAACCAGCAATTTTTTTTTTATTTATTATTATTTTTTGGTGCCACAACTCAATCAGCATTTGTTGCTATACATCTATTGGATTTGCTATTTGTGAGCATGATGAGCATAATTTTGGAAACCCACTATCCACTGGATAAAGGAACCCCAATAGCATGAAGGGAACAAGAAAACAGAAGCATCGTGCTTAACAGGTTTGCAAGATGGACTCAGGCAGACACTACAGAAATTACTCATGAAACATTTCAATTATTTAAGACAGATCCCTCTGGCTTTATTTCTTAGCTTTCTACACATGTACATTTTCTCTAACATTGATAGTTCAAATACCAAAACGAGTAGGTTTTTCGTAATAAAAAACAGTGTCTCACCTCATCTATAATGGGATTGTAGACAACACCAACTGTTGGAACCTTTCCAAGTGTAAGACCAATAGAAACGCACACAAAAGGGAACCTACGAGTCACCATATTATCAAAGTAAATTGCTTTAGTAACTTGCCATATATCAGAAAGTCTGTCTCAATAGCTATGCTTATTGGCAAGGCCAAATTTTTACCCATGCACAAAGTTTGTTGTTCCATCGAGGGGATCAACAATCCAAGTTGGTTCATCAGTTAGCTCTGTGACACCACAAGCAGCAGTAGTTTCTTCTCCAATGAACTAGCAGGAGCAGATTATTAGAACAAATATTAGTGCAAATGTCATTAAAAAAAAACACATCCTCATCAAGCACAATTCAAACTACACTGCCCAGCCCAAAACAAGGCATACAGAATAATGACAGTTTACCTTGTGGCTTGGAAAATGTTGCTTAAGGTGATTGAATATGAGATCTTCACATGCTTTGTCAGTTTCGGTGACCAAATCCACCTTCATTGCAGGGATGATAGCGTGGAAGGTAAACAATAACCAATTGTCATTGAGCCTTTAAAAAGAGAGTAAACTGTATACACTATTATAGTTGTATGTATGACACATGCAAAATTTGGATTTCAAATTCAAATTCGGATTATGTGTTATGTATCTAATGATGAAACTGTATATACTATCAGTGTATAGAAAATTAGTCCTCAAAGAAATGTATAGGAAAAGTGCAGGGGAAAAAAAAACCGCACCACATATCACATGCAATTGTAAACAACTAAAAATGGTCCTTGCTCTTAGAATTTTGAACCTCCACGCCCCATTGTAGCAAGCATTGAACATTTTGCCTTCATGTGGGCATCAAGAAACCACATATATAAGCATTCCAAAATCCTGAAAATCTTTGTTTTGTCGTCATTGAACAAATTTTCCCTTATACCGTACCCAACTCCCATTGGCGGAAACTACCATTGAATTTGAATGTAGCGGAAACTACCCCCCCCCCCCAAAAAAAATCAATCTTTCCACCCACCGTTAATCAAGTAAAATCACATTAGTCACAATTAACGGCAATTGGTCAAATTTGAAAGTATCAGCAACAAAAGCAAAATCGAAAAATTCCCCAGACTCGAAGACATGATCTCAAAAGTTTTGGCCTTTCATGCGAACGTCAAAGACAAAAAGGTGAACACCAGCAGAACAGAGCTCAATGAACTTCGAAGGGGAAACAATAAAAGTTCACCACACCTGGCTTTTATGCTCCACATGCTTGGTCTGATAGAACCCATTACGAATTAACTGTTAAGATGAAAGAGAAAAATGAAAAGTAAAGTAAACCCAAAATGACAACCTTTTTGAAGATGTTGAAGGCGAAAAAACCATACAATAAAAGCCTATCAAACAAATTGAAGGGGGTGGGGGAGCTTAGGAAATCAATCAAGCAACTCAAGGGAAAAGCAACAATGGAGAAAGCGTTAAACTTGAAAAGAAGAAAATTGGTTGAATGAGTGTGAGAGTATTCAACCTCTCCAGCTTTCTTTGCTGCATCCACTGCAACGGACAGGAATTCCTCCACTGATTTCAATCAAGAAACGAATTTTCAGTCCCAAGAAACATGTTACAAACAGCGACGGTACAATTTCCTTCACAATCAAATAACAGATACATGCAAAAAAAGAGGAAAAGAAATTCTAAATGTGAAAACATTAATTGGGGTCCAACCATTTTGGGCCATTCTTCTCTCCTGGGGGAAAATGGGAAAAAGAGGGCGACGCAGACGTGAACAGAAATGGAGTGGGTGGGGGTGTAGCGGGTTGGGGATGATGGACGGTTGGACGCTTTTAGATCCTACCGGTACTCGTAATTTGGCTGACACCAAAACAAGGACTGCCGATGCTTCGTTGCATGGGGGAGATGGAATTGAAACAGGGCAGCCAGCCTCCAACTATTTTGCTAGTAGTAGTAGCAGGGGAGTGTAATCTATAGGCATTTTTTATTTTATTTTATTTTGTTTTATTTATTTATGGGACGACCCGTCACACTGATTAGTACTAAAGCTAAGGAGTAGGGACTAGGAACAGGATACCTGAAATCAATTGATTAGTAGCATTTTCACCTTATTAGGTTTTAAAACAGTTCAAATAAAAAATGTTATCTTAAATACAGTTGAGATGAGCCCGACTTGCCAATTTTGATTCCAAATTCAACTTGAACCAATTCCGCTTATGATTTTTGAAATAACAAAACAAGTTTTGATATGAACTTTTAATTAAAAAGGGTTGAACATGATTGAAAGGTAGATAGATATCCTTGGAGATCGGAGCGAATAACATTCTTGAAAATTCTCGCCTGCATTATTTGGTTGCTACAACAACTCGTAATATGCTCATTAGATATTCCTCGCTAGTCGCTAGCTTACATGAAATGGAAAAGCCGCCCTTTTTTTTTCTTTCCTGGTTCTTAAAAAATCAGCCGTTCTGGGAACCAACCAGATGGTAACATTTGTTTCATTTTTCGTACGGCTAAAAACATGTTTTGATTTTAGTTGTATCGAGAGAGAGAGGGAGAGAGGAAGCGAACCCGAGAATTTCCACCAAGCAGCCCGACAGAAAGGGGGATGCTGAGGAATATGCCAGCCAGAATTCTGATTCCATCTGGCAAATTATTTTTGATTGTTTCCTGTCGAAGGCTTCTATTATTATTCTCGACACCATTTCTCCTCTCATCTGAGCTTGAGCATGGTTCAGTGGCTGCAAGTGGAGGTTCAAATTTCACTGCAGAGAAAAAAATTTAAAAGTAGTGTTCAATCACTTTTTTGATCTATTACATCTCTTAGTTCTTAATACAAGTCTCTTTAGATTTTCCTTCTCCTATAAATTAAGATAAAATAAATTATATAATTATTATTGTTGCCCTGAAAAAGAAAAAAAAAAAAAAAGAAGCTACTTACTATGAATGAGAATGATACTCCCCTGCCAATTTGTCATTTCTTAGGAATGCAATATGAGACTCCTTTTCCTCTCAAGCCTCGGTGAAACCGTGCACCGGACTGCGACTTTAGGACCTTCTTTGATTACTTGACAAACACTGCTACATTAGACAATTACTATTTGTTCTCTTTTGCTTCCTTCCATTGACTTGTACACTTAAACTGTCATAATGATTAAAAATTTTTATTAAAAAAAAAAACCATTCTTCACCTTCCTTTTAACGAACAAAACAAAAACTAGATCAAGAATTCAGAACAGAACACTACAGTCTCTTAACCATATTCATTTGCTGCAGCACACAGGTTTTCCCTCTACAATGCTCAAGATACCAACAAGTCTGCAAAATGCTTTGAAGGTTTACATTATTCTTATTAATAATACCAGCCATGTACATTCCTCGCTGTCATATATCATGCACCATTCACATTCATATTCACATCTCTCTCTCTTGCTGAATCTATCGTCTTCCAGCTTTGTATTCGGAATATTGAAACCTCCAGTTAGGGATGCAAACGAATCGAGCCGCTCGCGAGCAGCTCGAGTCGAGCTTGAATCGAGCCGCTCGATCGACTTGAGCTCGAGCTGGTCGAGCCAGAGTCAAGCTCGAACTCAAAACATTAAACTCGTTAGCTCACGAGCCGGCTCGCGAGCTCGAGTATATATATTTATTTATTTATTTTTAATAGTAAAATTACATAAATATTCTTAATATTTTATTATTTATTAAGAAAAAATATTATTTTATTTATTTTTTTAAAAATAAAATAATTATTTTTTATTTTTTTCGAGCTCGAGCTTGAAAATTACCAGCTCGTCGAGCTCGAGCTCGAGTTCGAATTCGATGAAATTAAGTCAAGACTCGACTCGATAAGGCCAGAGCTCAACTCGGTTCAGCTCGTTTGCAGCCCTAACCTCCAGCAAACTAAAGAAGAAGAAAAAGAAATGAAAAGCTTTACGAAAAGGGGGTCCATGTTTCCAGATATTCTGTCACTAGAAACTATCGTTGCAAATAAAATTGGAGGGAAGAAAATAACTCCCGACAGATATTACAACTAGGAGGCATGAACGCGCTTCGCGCGATAGAAATATAAAATGCCCTGTCCAGTTTTGAAGTAATAAAAATAACAATTTATTTAGAAAAGTATATTTTTTAGCATAGTTATTCCACAAGTTAAGTTTTGTTGATACTTTTTGGCCGTTTCTCACAAAGCGTCTAGTCAATGGCAACCGTCAACTTGCATTTTTTGCAAAACCATTTCTGGTGCAAAAATGGAACCAATGTAGTATATAATACAGAGCAAGAAAAGAAAGAGCATCCCACGAGTTGGTTATTTACTGATTGAGAAACTTTTGTGGCCTATAATAGCAAACACAATTGGAATTAAACAAGCCTATAATGTGGTCTAATAGACTACAATCTTAAGCATCCATTCAACACTATATCAAAGTTTCACGATGACAACTGTTTGAGGGGGCCTATACAGAACGTGAAATTATGAATCTCTTAAAGACTGTATTCACCTCTTCAGCCAGTGACAGGAACTTTTGAGACTCATCAGAAGCATAACCAGAAGAACCTAGAACTAACATTCCCGGAGCAAAACATGCTAAATCATCCATCTGCATATAATTTTGAAAGACAAATACTATAAATTAATAATTACTCCTCCACAAAACAATTAGGATATTTAATCTTGCAAGTTCACACCTCACCTTGTCAGTTAGGGAATTTCCAATCTTTTCACAGATATATGCAAAGGATGAAGGGGTAGTTCTCTTAACCAAGCTTGAAAGACCTTTCATTGATGTCTCCCACATTTTTCTGCTTGCAGATTCATGAGAAGAGTTACTTCTCCAGGATATTCTAAGTTTATCTCAAAGTGTGAAAAAGAACTTAAGACAGCAAAGTAAAGAAATCTACTCCATGCTCAACAACAATGCAATAAGCAATATGTACATTAAACTTCAATGTCATTAGTCTCTCGCTTTGAGCTCATAATACATTTTTCTAATCCCATATACGTGACTTTTCTTTTACCTATATTTTCTCAGGATAGCTGACACACTTTGATACAAGTCTATATATATATAGACATACATACACACACACACACACACACACAAACATTAAAATAGAAATGTGAATGCTTTGCAGAAAGTATGCCTTTTGGGAAAAGATCGATATATCTAAGGAAAGAAATGCCAATGTTTACCTGTAATGATTTACAGAAGCAGTTTTGTTTCCTTGTATCCACACCTTGAGTAAATATTCATAAAAGTTGCCAAAAGAAGAGCTTTTACCATTATTCAAATTACAAAAAATACAAAGTAAAGAAAAGAAAAAAGTATATTTTCAAAGCCATGGAAATGAGATATACAGGAGGATAATTTTGAAGGGACCTAAATGAAAAACAAATGCTATCTATAGATTATGAGATAATTACAAAGCAAGTACTGCTAAGGAATGTAAACATATTGAATAGATTGTATCTGTCCCCCATAGCCCCAGAAGTGATGGTAGAATAGGATGTTGTGCCCCTATGGGGATTAACATAGATGGGAAGCAAACCATCAGTAGGAAAGGTCCTTCTAAGAAATAAAATAACATTCTCCACCTGAAAGTAATGGATATGAATCATCAGCTGTCTGTCAGAAACTTATTGGGAAAAAAAAGGTCTATCCTTATCTAACTCAGCCAAAATTCTCTCTTGTTCGAGCACTATAAAATCTTAATATACACTTTGACTATTAAAACTTTCATAAAATGTTCATCTCTTTTGTCTCTCTCAGACGCACAGAAGAAGGAAAAGGGGGAATGAGCGAGCGAATTACTTGAAAGTGTAAGGAGCTAGTTTTTGGATACCTTCTGCCGATACTTTGGGTTTCCAATCCTTTGAGAAAGAGTAATAAACTCTAGCTGCTCTGTACCAGAATCAGCTAAAATACTATCAACCTGAGAAAAGGTAAAGTTTTACACAATTTGTCATACATATGTATACTCAAGGCATAGACATGACAATGAGCAGAGACAATGCAAGTAGTTCATGCAGAGAAGTAGAAATACAGAAGTTGATTGGGAGATACATGATTTCAATGTAAAGAAAGCCAGGATTAATAAGAGCAATGTAAAGCTCAATTGCCATTATATAATTGTGAAGAATCAGGGAATATTTAGATAATTATTGTGGCAGGTATTGCTATTATTATATCGTGCAGCTGAGTCTTGAAAGGGCCCACAACAATTTTGTTTTGCTTAAAAGTATAGCAAAAGTCACAGTTGGACAATGAACTTGAGTCTAAATGTTTCATGAAACAGAAAACAAATTAACATATGTATCAACTTACACCAGTCGATCTGGGATTATGCGGATTCCCATGAGCCAAGCTAATAACGTTATAAGGAATGCCAGAAGGTGTGTCCTATGTAGGCAGTAGCCTATCCGCAATATCCTGAGCCTTTTCAAGGAAAACCTTATCCCCAGACAGATTATATGCACTGAGAAGTCCTCCTACCACTCTGGATTTTGTTATGAAAAATTCATAAGTAACCACCAGTTATATGAATATCTTGTCTACCTCCATTTAAAAAGTTGACAAGAATTTCAGATGTTAAAACTTATACAAAGGAAAAGATGAAAACACAAACCTAAAACACACGAAACATTAAACCTTATAAAACAACCTTATGGTTGTTTCAAACACACTTGCATCATAGTTTTTGTTAAAATCCAAGGAATTTACAACCCACTTGCCACCAAATGACCAGATAAGATTAGATAGGAAAAATGGATAAGCAAATACTTACCGATTAAAGACACTTTGCAATTAAAAGATCACCTTACTACAGTGAAACTTTCAGGAGGGGGGAGGGAAAGCAAATTTGGACAAAGATAGTGACAACTTATACGTGTGTGAACAAAGATATAGCAATCATTTTTTAACATGGTGACTACAGAAAAACTAAACAGCAAGTGGAAATTCTACGACATTGCTGCTAATCTTCAATGAAGAAAAAGTCAACAAGCAAAATTTACATTTATGCAAGTGGCTCAAATGTCTTAACTTGTTTTACACTGCCAACTTCATTTTCTTTCTTGAAATTAAAGCATAAAGGGTTTTGGACAGAAATCAAATCCAGCACCGTGGCTATACCAAAACGAAAAAATGCCAAGTATGGTTGTCTTCAAATTGGTGTAATTCCTACCTTCTTAACCCATACAAAACCTTCAACTCTACATCCTCCTACTGAGAGCGCAGGTCTTTTTGGATCTTTTGTCTTGTCAGATTTATCCTCTAAAGCAAGTCTTTTAGACTCTAGTGAAACAGATGCAACCAAAGTTTCCATTGTCTGCAAATAATTAAAAAACCCAGTAATGCCACATATATAATAGGTGACAACATCAACACCTATGCAGGACTACACAATTCAATCATAGGTTTCTAGTATAGAAAAATGATATCAACTGCATTGATAGATGTGCAGAGTCATGCTACATATACATTTTCCTTTTCCTTTATTTATTTAATTTTTGTTTTGTTCTTTTACTTCCTTGCTTTACTTCACCTTATTTTTGCCTTTCCCGTTTAAAACTTTGGGCATGCAACTCAATATTGTTTCTTACCTGGACCAGACTTTCAATGTCTTGATCGCCAAAATATGATTCATGCTCATGATGCCCATGTTCATCCTTATATTAAAACAGACAACAAACTTCTGATTTGAATACAGCAAATTCAAATATTACATAAGGTCATTATAAATGAAAATTTCTTCTACTTAAAGCTAAAGAAGAGAAAAGTTTGCACTACAGAAGGAAATTTTTAATGAGAAAGTTCAGATTAACCAAGACAAACATATAATAAGCAAACAGTTTTTAACAGGCAACAAAGGTCAAAGAATCAAATTTGTACAAAGATAGTGACAACTTATACATGTGTGAACAAAGATAGCAAAGAAGGTTTAATACAGAGAAAAAATAAAATTATGGACCAACATTCATATTAGTGTCATACAGCAGCCTAGCAGATATTGCGCATAGTCCACTTTATGTCTAGGACTCTTTCCACCGAATCTAATAATGCAAGTATTATCAAATTATATTCAACTTTAATGTCAACGAAAAGGAGAACAAGGTATAAAAAATGAAACTGAAACATTAGAAAATTTCCAACAGGAATATTGCAAGCAAATTCCAAGTATGAAGCTATTGGACAAGGCCAACAAATCATAAGTAAGGATGACAAAAGGAGAATTTTAAAAAAAAAACTTCTTGAGCAGTTCTCCATTAATTTTTTTTAGTCCAAGAGAGATTTTAAGATCTTACAAGAAGAAAAGAGAAATGGAGAATTAAACTAGTAATATAGGCAGCTACCTTCTTTTCATTATTTCTTCGGCTGTCTTGAAGTCATTGCAAAAAGCTTCTATCCACAACCGTTACGCCAAACATCTCGATCAGGCACACCTTCAGTAAAATAATTTTGCCCTCCTGAAGCAGCCTCAGTCAAATCTGGATCTGGATCTATATCAGAATTTGGATGTTTAAGGTCCAAAATTGCTGCTGCAGAGCCATCACCTAAGCGGATCCTGTGAAAAACCAAAAAAATTATTTTTGGATGGCCGACTATGGTAGCCACCAAGGAGCCCAGGACAAGGGGCGGAAAAAATACGAACTCCAGAGGAGGGGGAGGAAAACAGGAAGCTTACAGAAAAGATCGGAGTTCACTGGAAAGTAAGAAGGAGAAAGCTCGCGACGAAGGAGGAGGAAAAGTGAACGAACGGCACAAGATCTGGACCGATGCAAACAACAGCGAAGGCGGTAGCTCCTTGGGCGGTAAGAAGACAATGGAATTGGCAGAACGGAATACCACACCGCAACAAAGCTTTGTACCAGTCAGGAGAGCACGCGGATAAGTGACAGAGCAACATTGTTGTGAGAAAAAAAAGGAAGAGAAAGGGAAAAGAATGACAGAAGAAAGAGAGAGAAAGCAGCTGCAGAGGGAAGGCAGCGAGAAGAGAGAATGCAGCAGAAGCACATGGGATACTGGC